GAGTGGAAAATAGTCTATTAACTTAGAATCAGGACTCTACTCTTGAAAAAAGACACTGCTTTAAAAAATCTGTGCAAATAATAGTTACACAAAAATGTAATCAATCTCCTCCACACCTAGTCTCCATCTACACATCGTGCAGGATAAAATAATCCCACACGGCTGACATTTTCCCGCTATCTTCCAATTCACCTGTTTTAATGGTAAGGCCGGGAGACAGACCCCAAAAGACCTGTGGGTGTTTGGAAGGTATTCTGGAAAATACGGACCGGATTCGGGGAACACTGGCGCAAAATAGTGGAATGGATTGTTTCAATCGGCGAAACTGGAAAATACGGACCGGATTTTTTTTTTTAAAACTGGATCGGCAGTCTGGATCGGCATTTTTACATGCTTTACCAATGCGCATTTTGTTGCCAATATCGGCGTCCGATCCGATACGTGGATCGGATCGGGACAAGCCTAAGACACACCAACGAGAGCTCTATGGAAAGGTTACCTTTCATTGTCCAAAATGAAAATAAACAAACTTAGATAGAATGGCATAAATACACACAGGGTAGATGCACAAAAATGCTGGATCATCTACTTCCTGTTGAGCATTGATTTACAGAGTCCAACTGTGTAAACTTAGACACAGCAACAATGACTGGAGAAAGGTTTGCATGTCAATTTGCATCTTCAGAAGTGATAGAAAAAAACACATGGGGCTTAAAAACTACAGCCAGAGCTGACTTTCAGATTTAGAGAATCAATTTACATGTGGATAAATATGAAGTTAAGGCGGAAATTCAACTGAAGAAACTCTGATTACTTCCATTCAATCTGAGGCTGATCCGCCTCCGATGCAGCCAATCCGCTTCAAGCCACTTTCCTCGATGCCCAATCATCTTCCAGCACTCTACTTAAAGCCACTCCAAATCATCTCTAGGCCTGCTCTTCAACAAGCGCAAGATCCGTCGCTCCTATGTCGGACTTTGATTCAGACAACCCACCCCCATCCCCTTCTCCACCGTTGTAGTAAGCTCATCCGACTCCTCCTCGATGCTCCTTCAACCTCACCTCCAGTGTGTACTCCCTCCAGACTTTCACGGAGTTCCCTGTCACTTTAAACGGTCCGGCAGAAGACCGCCACGTTGAGCCTGGTTCTGCCAGAGATTTCTTCCCAAGGGGGAGT